CCTCATTTTCTTATGTGTTTGTGTCTAAATGATTAATGGAGACAACAGTTTTTGAAACTGGTTCGGTATCAAGCCAGAGTGCTTCAGCTGAAAGAGGCAAAACAGGCAAAAATGTGACCATTCGGGGCATGTTCGCATCTTCACTTCACGTCCACTAAAAGTATTATCAGTATCAGAATATTATTTTAAGTGTCTAACGACATTATGGAGAGGATCCCCCCAGAGGTCAACCATTTTGTTAAAAAATAACATCCTTTTGTTCAACCAGAAACAGCCCCGAAGTTGCCATTGCTAATTATACCAGACTTCATTTAAATAAAGAATAATTTTAGCCTGTATCGAGCCAGCATATTTTCACATCTAACTGGGTGAATTAAGGGTTTATTTCAACCAAATCAGAGTTGGTGATTGTTGGAACAGTGGAGAGATGGACCAAGAAAGTTTTGTGAGTTTTATCTTGCATCTGTTGACTTTTATTAAAGTGTGTTGTATGATGATAAAATTGCTGAATATTTAAGTGGAGTCTGGTGGGCTGTTTCTGGTCGAACAAAAAGGATCTTGAGGTCTATCTCTGTGGGGTGCTTTCTATAGTGCTGTCAAACACTACAAGTAATATTATATATTATTATTTTTTTGGGCTTTTATTGGCTTTATTGGATAGGACCATCTAAGAGTGAAAGGGGGAGAGAGAACAGGGATGACATGCAGCAAAGGACTGGACGCCAGAATCAAACCTGGCCACTGCTGCAATGACATTGTCCTGGTACATAGGAAGCCCACTCCACCCACTAAGCCACTGGGTGCCCCGAAAATAATATTCTGAGCCTGTCAGTGGCAAAAACAAGCTCTTTTAGTGGATGTAAATTGATGGTGCAGACATACCCTGAATGCTTACAATGCAGCTTCCGGCTGCAGTGGTTTCTCTCAATACTAGACCAACACAAAATGTTTTCCTATTAGTCACTTAGACACAAAACAATGGGAAAACAGGGTCCAAGTTGAAAAATACCAAATATATCCTTTAACGCCATTCGATAGAAAGCTTTATCTGTAGCCATAGAGAGCCTAGGGATGTGACTACTACAGTTGTTTTTGGGTGAACTACTCCTTTAACTCTTCAAAACATGTTCTTGCCCAGACACTTTGTTCCTCAACTTTTATCAGACTTGGAGTGGAGCTGGAGCAATTTTCAATGTTTCTCATTTTTGACCTTTAATAACCCTGTCTCTATCCGGTGCCAGGAGGCATCACTCCTCCAGGTTTTTGTCAAAATTAGACCAGTGTTGTCTAGGACTTCACATTTGAGTTTCAAATTTTGACCTTTAATTGTTGCCTCCTCATTAATCCAATTAATGTAATTTGTAAAAGCGGCAGGATGTGTGCTACGGCTCCTGTCAGTCACACTAACAGTGTCAGAGGTAGAGGTAGGTCTCAGGGACAAAATGAAAACTGGGATTTACAAAAGGGAGCTGCAGATAGAACAAGGGGGGGCAAGGGAGAGACAAAAAGCAAAGAGAGAATGAAAGAAAGTGAAAGCAACAGGAAAGTAAGCATGAAAAAGTGAAAGCAAAAGTAAAGAAGAAAGTGGAAGTAAGTGGCAAAGTGAAAATGAAAACAAAGGGGAAAACCGAAGGATGAAAGACAAGGTAAAAAAGGGGAAAGGAGAGCAGAGCAGAATTTAAGGTTTGAAAGAATGAGGGAAAATTGGTAATAAAACAAACAGAAGAAAAGATGAGAAGAAAGTAAAGAGGGAAGAACGTATGTGTGCAGCAGAGAAGCTACAGACTCAATCATCCTGTAAGAATTTACCAGTTCTGGTTTAATAGATCTCAGCAGCCCATCAAACGATTTGAGAGCCTGTTGGAAATAATTTCTGCCATCTGATCCTATAAAAGAGTTTATGATTCTCTGTAACAAAGCAGAGGAAACATCCAGTCTGTCCTCAGGGCTCAGGTCATCTCAGTATCGAATAAAAACTCAGTGATCACATGGTCATATCTGAGGTAACAGTGATTTATGATATCATTAGAGGCTTTATCTCTTTACAATGCGTATCTTAGCCTTACAGTAAACTATCTTAAATCATATTGAGCTCTCAAAACACCAAAATAAATGTCCTACAGATAGAAAGTTGAGTGAGATTCTTTCAAACTGTTGCCATATAAATCGTTTTATTTAGAATTTATAGAACAAATACACCAATTTGTTTTGCAGAGAAGTGAAACTCCCACTGGCAGAAGAGGAAAATAAGATATTCAGATCTCAATAACAAAATCACTTGCAGAGAAAGTGATGTAAAATGAATTCCATTTGAAAACTATATATACAGGGTGTAAGCGTGTGTGTATTCACCCTGTGTTGTTTGACATAATGTCCAATTTGATATGAGACTTTCCTCTGTTCGCCCTGTGATGGATAAATACTGTTGCATTGGCCTAATACAGCTCAAACATATTCTGACGTTCAAGTTTTACCTGAAAAGCTTTGTGCCAGTTGTTGTCTGGTAACTAAACCATACGGGTTTATTTAATCCCTGGATCTATAGCTCATAATGAGAAATTAAAGCTGGAGCAGCTTCTGATGTCACTGGTGGATCATCGTGAAGTTGCAATCTGTTTTCATTACAAGGTCGTCAAATACCAACACTTTGTCACTCCCCCTCAGTATCTCACGGCGACGCACAGGGCAACCTTTACCAGCGTGGGTTTTCCTTGGGTACTCCAGATTCCTCCCACAGTCCAAAGACATGCAGGTTAATTGGTGACTCTAAATTGTCCATAGATGTGAATGTGAGTGTGAATGGTTGTCTGTCTCTATGTGTCAGCCCTGTGATAGTCTGGTGACCTGTCCAGGGTGAACCCTGCCTCTCACCCAATGTCAGCTGGGATAAGCTTCAGCCCCCCCACGACCCCCAAGAGGACAAGCGGGTACGAAAATGAAAAAAGATCTTTACTGGGGTTAAAATAAGTGTTTATTACATAAGATAATGTGATGGAAACATGTCATGTGAGTGATGCCAGACGCAAAGTTACATTAAAACAACACTGAGTTTTGTTTCATATAGGACAGGAACATCAGTCCCCTGGATGCAAGTCCGCTTTTGTTTGACCCGTCCACCTCCCCTACCCCAACCTATACAGACTTTCTTGCAGTTTTTATTATGTCAGTTGCTCTCAGCATCAAGTGTTGCCACAGATGCATTTACATTGGAGTTAGCTGAAATAAACACTCTAAAGGCTGCCCCTGGTGTCTATCACATGGTGAGGGACATGACAAAGTGGTAAGTGAGGTCCTGGCAATGGGAACAGGCTAAAAACTGTTTGCTTGCCTTTTTTTCTCAGGTTGGGCACATAACATTTGGGACAGCATTACCCAAATGTGTCTCTTAAGGGATGCCTTGCAAACACTCTTTCTTTAAAAACTGGTGGTAAATGAATACACAATACAACAATTTAAATGTATATGCCCCTTCCCTAAGCCAAACATGCTTAGAGGAGGGGCATTGCCTGCATGTTTTCTTTAAAAATTGCCAAAATTGCATCATTTATCAGAGCCAGAAACTGTAATGAATGGCTTTTTTTCAACTCCAGGATTTCATCTTTAAATCTAACAACTAATTTCTGGTGGAGGAAGGGTCATGCATTTTCCACTAGTCACTCAGGGAGGCTCAAAGAAAAATATTTGTAGCTTCAGGCAGGGTCAAAATAACAAACAACACCACCACCAAATAAATGAAGTCACACCCCAGCCATCCCACCTTTCTGACAAGTAAAGAACAGTCCCTTAAAGATGCAAAATTGTTTAGTCCCCCTCCTGCACTAGGGTTCGTCTCTAAATGCAGACAGTGCTGAGTGAATGAACCAACGTACACTGTCATGTTTTTACCCAACAAAGGCAGATCGGGCTTCCACAAAAGAAAAGAGGAAAGGGATAGAAAGCAAACTGACTTTGTAGCCTATTTAAAAAAATCAGAAGGTGCATGAGATGAAGAAAGGATGGGCAGGGAGCCCAGACACTGCTGATGTGTAGGGCCCAGAATTAGGTGCTGCACCCCTGACCATTACACCCCAACTACAAACAAACAATCATGTTTTGAATAAGTAATTTTCCTAATTCTAAACTGGCCGTAGCTCAGTTTCACATCTTGTATCGTTTCCTGCAAAACTGCCATCATTAGCAGATGTTGAAAATAACTAAGGTAATTACTCGAGTTGAATTTTGACTTTATTTTTCTTACAGTGTGGTTACAAAAGCAGCTCAACTCTTCTTCCACAATTGGTCATGTTACTGTGTTAGTTTATACAGTGACATTTGACAACAGTGACAGTATAAATTAAGAGGTTATATATTTATAGTAAGGTATAAAACATGCTCATGAATGTGGGTTTATTTGGACTCCATAAATGAACAAAAGGAGGATAAACTCTTGTAAACTGAACAGGTGGGAGGATCGTGGTGAGCTCTTCCCTCCACTGCATCCCTGCTCTCCGCACAGACATCACCACATGGAGACCACATGGAGGAGAGTCTCAGTAGTGAAGCTGTCAGACCTCAGAAAAACAACAACACTGCATCTTATCTCTTAGATCATCACTGCTGCTTCCTTTTATACCACCATACAAATGTTTTCGTGCTTTAGTCGCTGTGTCTGTGTGTGTTAGCAGCAGCACCGGCTCGTGGTTTCCCTGCTCTCTGCCTGTGCAGTCTGTAATGACTGTGAGTGGAATGCTGCTGGTTTTATATAGGCCTCTAAAAATAACTCACCCCTCACTGCCATGTAGGGCCGGACTGACAGCCCCCTGCAGCCAGTAGCGTCCCTGTATCTCTGCTGGCTCCGCCCCCTCCCTCAGTCTCAGCGCCTCCTTAATTGGACGCCAGTGACATCATCAACCCTATTTACCTTATTAGGTCACGCATGAAATTGACTGATAGGTGGCTCCTCCCTCTGCCTCCCTCCCCTCTCGCGCCGGTCGCCTGGATTGCAGCGGGGTCCAGTCTGCTGCTGGAGGAGCAAACCTGGCAACCTGGCAGCTTGTGCTGAGACCGATTGGCAATCTGGCAATGCGGAAATAGATCTGGCACCCCCGAGCCCGGACTGAGGAGAGAGGCGTGACAGAGCCGAGCAGAGAGGAGAGGGGATTGCTTTGACAAAGATAAAATAATCAACTCTTTCTTTCCTCTTAGCTTTTTTTTTCTTTTTTTAATTAAAGTGCTCAGGTGCGCGCTCCTGCACCAGCTGGGATTTTTTTTATCCCCCAGTATTTGTTTTCCAACCTGACAAGTCTGAGAAGAAGGAAAGAAGAAGTGCGTTTTTAAGGATTCCGGACTTCTTTTACTGACTTTTCCTCCCCCGTTTTCTTGCATCAAGCATGGATGTGTTGGCGAATTACAGTATTTTCCAGGAACTCCAACTCGTCCATGACACTGGTTATTTCTCTGCGATGCCTTCCCTGGAGGAGAACTGGCAGCAGGTCAGAGATGATGCGTTTTTACTCTTCTTTTACCGGGGAAATGTAACGGGGTTAGAAACTGGGATGAAACAGTACCATGTGTGCGCTGCTTGGTGTTTTCTGTGCGTGTTTCGCATCACTAGAGCGCTCCGGAGCGGCAGCAGCAGCCCCGCGTAGTTGCGTTAGTTTTTTTCCTCCTCTCTCTTGCTCACATGGAGCACGGCGAGGTCCGCTGACAGGAGAAAACACACACTCACACTCACATAGACACACACGGAGGGAGCGGGTTGAAGAGGAGGAGGAGGAGGAGGAGGAGGGAAGATACAGACAGCTTTACGCGCTAATGGCACTAATGATGGACAAACAGCATTTTTAAATGCGTAAAAATCACCCGAACCATCTTTACATTTACGCACACGCCCCTTACTATATCGATAGGTCCCTTAATGTACCTTAAGGAGTAATTAAACCCCTTAATCATTAATGTAAAGCAAGAGCATGGCGTTGTTGTCCTGCGATGATGATATTCAGATTTTAACCAAAACCTAAATGGTTTTAAATACTGCTGGAAAAAACGAAGATGGTGAAGCTGAAAATGCGGCGTTTCCATTTGGTTTATTAGTTACCAAATTTAGCTGTTTTACCACCTACTTAACCCATGTATTATAGTTAATATGAAATTCTGTTGGATAAAACTCTGAAAATGCAGGCTTCAGTCCAAAAATGCTGCTTTCCGTCACCACGCACAGATAGAGCAACATTCAGGGCTCCACGTTGATCTGATGAGCTGTTTTACCCCTTAAGTTACTTACTTGGTGCATATTTACCCTTAACATGAATATGAAAAGTTTAAGGAGGTTGTAGAGTTTAAAAAACAATGGATATCTTTTCACTTTAATCAAGTCTTGAATGCTTTGTGTGTGTGTGTGTGTGTGTGTGTGTGTGTGCTGTTACATTGAATGAAGATGATGCTGCGTTTAATTGACAGCTGAGACTCAGAGTGAGAGCTGCTCCAAGGTGAAAGTGGAGGGTTTTTTTTATTTCTCAGTCTGAGCTGATGATAGAGAATGCTGTTTTTGGTGAGACCGATGTGATCGATAGACTGGTCTGTCAGCCTGATGTGTTTGGATTATCACACACACACATACACACACAAACGCACACACAGAGGCCATGGAAGATGGACACATGCTTAATAGCGAGTGACTTGTTCTTAAATAATATATCTACATCTGCCACTGTTTGTTTGCAGACAATCCTGCTGAATTATACATGATCACCCATTACAGAACATACACCAGGCTGAGCATGAGCGTCCACAGACTGGCTTATAACCTTTATGTGACTCGTAAAATATTTGCTGTGCTTGTGTTGAAATAGATCAAAGGGAAATTATGGTCATTTTCGTTGGGAAAAGAAACATTGACATTTCCATTTTTATCAAAGATTTCATACTCTGATTAGGGATTTAAAGGTTTACTCTGCAGGAAATTGTTGGTTACTGTTTGTAAACATGACATTCAAACTTAGCCCCGCCTCCCTACACTGTTTCTTCGTACACTGCAAGTTACTATTGTAGGAACATTGCATTTGCTTCAATGGAAAAGCCAGGCACTCAGGAAGTGTGCCGACCTTTGAAGCCACTTTGTAACTAGAACTTCTGGATCTGTCACATGATGCAATCGAGCCCAAAAAGACTCTTTCCCATAGACTTACGTTGCGAAAGAGATGCCTGTTAATCAGTGGATAGAGCATCACAACTTCTGTGAGATGACATGTTTCACTATTGGTATTTGATCCATTCAGTCTGATAACATTTCGAAAGTCTAGAAGAGCTTCCTGATGAAATCATTTTATCCCCATTCAAGTTAGCGGATGGCTAAACCGGAATTTAGCCGCTCAGCTTGTGAACTCTCCAGTGGGCTCCATGATGTGGAAAATCTAGATTATTTTACACCTGGAAAGTCAAACTATTTTGAGCAGCTTTCACAGGAATGAACACTGCATCCAGTTCTTCTTATATATCCATGGGAAAAGCCAATACCTTACCAAGCTAACTAAGCTAACCTACCTGTCAAACAGAAAGTAGGCCAGCTCAGCATCACTCTTCATCCTCATCCTCTCCTTCAGTGCTCGCCAACAAAAGTGAAAGAGAAACCAACCCCTGATTCACACTTGTTTCAGAATGAACTTTATCCACTTGGCATTTTGCGTTTGTTCTGTGTTGTGTCTGCAATTTTCGTAGCCTCCTCTTGGATGCATGCTGCTTATATTGGAGCACCTGGTTGCTACATTTATAAAAAGTCCTGACCTCACCTGTGTGCTGTTATTGGCTTGGGGTTACACGCTCACTGCCCAAAGGTTGCAGCCGAAAAACATCCTGAACACAGCAAAATAAGGAGAAAACAAGAAAACACAGGCAGAGGGCAGAGTCTCTGCAGATAGATACACCAACACACACTTATGGTGGGTCATGCGTGATGATTGAGAGGGATAACTTTTGTATGCATTGTTTTTCAGGAGACTCCTGCCCTATTTATATCTAAAAACAGTTTTAGACCCAAAAGGATTAAGGATTTAATTATAGAGACTCAGGTGATAGGAATATTTCCCCCTTGAACTTGAGAAATGGAAGCTGTTAATTGGAAGCCACTTTCAGCCTCGTGTGTAAGTGTGTTGCCACCTTTTGTATGCTATCTAACATTCTGTAAACCACGACATCCAAAGTCTCAGAATGGGTCCCCGCATGGGACAAAACACATTCAGATGGTGCTGGTTCGGCCCATTGTGTGTATTTGACCATGTTTATATTCCTGAATGAGGCCCAGACTGCATCTCTCCTCCCCGACTGTCTTACTGACACAAATTCACACTGCCTCGTCCTATTTTTAGTCCAAACAGCACATAGTTTCATCCCCTGTAACCTATTTTTTCGGTCTGTAATCATATTGTTAAATGATTGAGAGGTTTCGTAGAGTTTCAGGTTTTGATGTCATGTCTCGTTTTCCACAGACTGACTGGAAAAGCTGTTTAAACCGGTGCCTAGAGACAGAAATTTAAAGCTGAACAAGACTTTTTGAGGCGACGAAAATGTTACAAATAACTTTCAAGAACTGAAATCACAGTGAAATAGTGACAGCTATGGCTTCTCCTGTACTCCGTGGTTCTGGGGTTATGCAGTGGTTATGTTACCTAACCAATATTGTCACCATGGTAGCAACTTGTCAATGAATGGTGCCCACCTGTCAAGACTTTATAACATTTAAACAAGGGAGTTATATAAAATTTGACCCTCCGTACAGTTGTCATGAATGGGCAAGTTAGCTACAGAGACCTTTTTGTACCAGGCTGTAAACATGTCTGTTTTTGCTGTAAAGTTGGACATTTTAAATCCCAGTTCAGACCAAAGATGTGCCACCCTGCAACGTTCTATAAACCTGCTGGTTCACACCAATGCAACTAGATGAGATGGTGTATCATCTCTATGCAACAACTCTCTGTACTTCTGTTCTGATTTGCAGCCTTTCAGGCTTATTTTGTGGCTGAATATAATTTGTAGCTTCTTAAAATATGAAAGAGGATAGTGATAGTGACATACCGGCTACAGCTGCATTTGTAGTAGAGATGAAATGTCGGAAAAAGAAAACAAAACGAGCATCAGATGGACGGCAAGCAGCAGTGACACACCGTGTGACATTGGCACACCGTGAGGACAGAACCAGAGGACTCAGTGGGGACGAGAACCTACCTCAGCAAGCGAACACACGGTCTGCAGCCATTTTGACGTGACCAGCAGACTTCACTACAAACCGACTGGCTGTTGAAACAGATGACGTACTTTACATTCTAGAACCAGCTGCCAGTGATTTGACCAGCTGAGTTGCAGGTGACACCATCAGTTAGCTTGAGTCGAGCTCAGACGGCCAGTTCACACCGCTGCAACTTTTCTCTGCAACATTCTAAAACGGTTTCATCTCGTCGCAAATCTTGGGTCTGAACTGGGCTTAACATGGGCAACTATGTAGATTGACTCACTCTAGTGGCCATTTGCAGAACTGCAGTTTTTTATGCACTTCAACGTTGGCTTCATTTTTCAGCACTGGAGGTTGCCTCTAGGTAAGAAGGCAAATGTTTGCTAATAGTTCCGGGTCAAGGTGTGCATCTTTTACCCCTAATGGCCAAAAAAATAATGAGCAAACAGCTTGTCTGGTTCAACAAACCCAGTTAATCTTGTTGTCTGTTGCTTGCTTGCTAACAAGATGCAACAGGTAAAGATGAGCTTCTTTTGGTGGAGGCTAGCAGTTTCCCCCTGCTTCCAGTCTTTGTGCTAAGCTAGGCTAACAACATCCTGGATCTGTCACTATAATGAACACACAGACAAGGAACTGATATCAATTTCTTCATCTGACTCCTGGTAAAATATCAAACCGGCACCTAAAATGTCTGAATATTTGTTTTAATATCACTGCTTCACAGATGTATCCCATCATATTTTTGAATGTAGCTATTTTTAAAATCTCGGTTTTACTCTCCCAAACTGTGATGTGAGTTTTCATATTCTCCAGAGGCAGCGTGCTTTTATATAAGCCCAGGTTTTCAGAGTGGAAAATGCTGTTATTGTGGATGGAAGGCCAAAACTGATAGGAAAAGATGTGTTTTGTCAATTTTATCTGCACTAGTGGGGACAATTTCAGAGAGGAGAGACAAACACACACACACACACACACACACACACTGAGACCAGGCACACCCACATTTTTTCCACTCTTGTTCCTTCTGTCTGCCTCTATCCCCTCATTCACTCTATCACACACACACACACACACATGCTCGACTGGCATGCACTAATGGAAAGCTATGGTCTGGCAGGACTCATCCCGCCACTTTCGACAGTAATTGGCCGTTTGCTGTCAGACGGACGGAGAAACACACACGCAGACACACACACTCAGTAAAACACACACATACACACACACACATACACACACAAGTACACTCACACAAACAAACAACCAGATTTG